TTATTTATTTTAAAATTTGGATGTCAAGGACACACAAACATGTATGGGTAGTATGTGCAAGGACATAGAGACCATCAGAATTGTCAAGAGAATCATTATTCAGAAAACAATGAAAGGAAAGAAAAGTCATAAGTCAAAAGTTACCCCACGGCAATCTTTTAGATTTGATGAAGTTTCTGCTTTGATCATTTGGAAACATGGATTTTCATTTGCAAATATGGTACAATTTTGTTTTCAGCAGGTATCACTTGGAAGGGATATAGCACTGGCAAAGACATCTAATGTAGCGTGTCTATTGACTGAAATTTGGGAGATAAATAGAGGGAATTCTCCTGATACCTCTGGCCTGGAATGGTATTTCTTTGTTCTTGATGGACCAATAGCTGAAAATCAAACTGCAATGGATAACCAAGAACTGAAAGAAAATTGTTTGTTCAGATGATGATAATCTTTGTAGTAGTTTTGTCCGTTTGGAAAAATAAAATATTTGCACACACAACAGTAAAATAATTTATCCCTATCAAATATGATGATAATAGTAGTAAGAATACAATGTTAATCAAAAGCAAACTTGTCCGCAATATTTCGGCCTCTTCCTACAACTACCTTATAGAAGATAGAGATTCTTACCTTGAATCAAATTTGTTATTTAGAGAAAGATCTTGAAATAACATCGTGTATAATTTTTCTAATACGTGAGTTTAAAATATAGGCTAAATTCCACTATCTTTTTTTTCACTTCAACAAAGCTACACCTGTCGCCTAGCCTGGCATTACAGGCGTTCTCTACCATCCGTCTTGGGAGGGGGATCCCCCTCTCCCTCTCCACGTCCCCTCTTTCTCTAGTCACCACGCTACCTACCGATAACCCTCTTAAGTTGCCGAAGCTAGTTTTTTGGTTATCGCCTAGATGCCGCTGTGACTCGTGGATTAGCGTAGAGATGGTGAATAGTAGGGTAGTGTAGGGTCTGAACGGTGCAGCGTACCGGTGCACATTGGCAGGGGAAACTGGAGTACTGTGACGGTTCTAATTTTTCTTTTAGTGAAATAAATACTAATACCACTAATAATGAAAACAAAGAAATATCCATTTATTTATAGGTCGATGATTTTATGGTGTACACCATAAGCTTAAACAAGGTAACTTACCGCTTGATTAAATACTTTTTTTCATGATTGAAATCAAAATAACACATTCATATATAACATTAAACAATATTTAAGAAAATAAACAATTATAACGAGAAGAGGTTTACGTAAATAATTTAAAAACCTTTACGGTCCGTACAAATATTCCTCCTCCCGCTCACGCGCACAGGTCGTGTATATTACTCATATCTTTCTCAAATCCTCCAGCTCCTCCTACACATGCACTCCCTGTCGACGATGAAATTACTCAGTCCTCACCTTCGCCTTACAGTTCATAAAATTTCGACGTCCACACGACCGTACATCACATTGAGCTCAGTAAGACACGCATTCCAATTCCGGTTATTGATTTGATATCTGATAAAAGCTGAAATTAACTGTTGAGTATCTGTTTTTACAGGCTGTAGCATAGAGATGGAGAGTGTATTACAACCTTCTGCGCGTAATCGCATATTGGCAATAAATGATGATGCATATCATCAGACAAAAAGTTATAAGCTGCAAAATGTAATAAAGATAAACTTAAGCTAAGGTGAAGTATTTATGAGAGCAATGAGGGTAAAGAGGGAAAGTTGCTTAAAAATTAAATTCGCATTTGCACAAATGAAGCAACATTTCTTTGGGGAATAAATTGTTTCAATATCACTTATAATATTTATATTCCTTACAGTGCTGAACATCAAATATTTCATACAATATTCATACAATAACTATTCATAAATATTAATACAATTCTAATAATGAATACAATTCATAAGTTTTATAAGTTAAATCCAATATAATTTATTATCAGTTAAATTCATTGCTCGATTGAAGACAACCTAAGCACTGTAGAAGTATTCAATGTTATTCTTTACTTTAATATTTTTTTCATATTGTAAGGAAATTAATATTTCTAGTGCAAATTTTCTACAGTATTTCTAGTGTAGGTTATGAAAAGCTATTCTAACAAGTTACTGCCATACGTACGGTATTTTTAACGTTTTAAATTGTTGGAAAGAAGGAACATATTGTAATTTATTACGCATTCTATCATACGGGAACATCACATTATACATTTAATTCTAGTCGTATCAAGAATATCACATTATTTATTTGAAGATCCGTCGTGTTTCTGCTTTCTTTCAGTTGCTGAGTCATTACGAAGAGGAAAGAAAATATATTACGTGCATTGAGTGGAATATATCATGAAAGGTTCGAAGTGAAAGAAAAAAGAGAGTTCATGGAGCAAATGCTTCTTGGAATGGCTGAGATACATTTAATCGGACCTCAGTCAATAAATATATATTACTCATAGATGTATCTGAAAGGAAATATGAGAATTTCAGGGAATGTGTCATTTGCCCTATTCATTAAGATCGCAAAGTTGAATTAAAATAAAATGTAAGAAGCAGGAATGATCGGAACGTTAATGAAACTTCAATGCTTACAAAAAAGAACTCATGAAAATTACTATGTCACATTAGAGGAAAGAGAAGATGCAGTTTGAAAATTATGAATGAAAAGATTTTTTAGAAATGCATGAAAGCAACGGCCAATTTTTGTTTCCAAATTATCCCCCAAATACTCATATTTTTAAAAAAAAGTGAAATTGACCATATTTGAAAATTTATTTTTGATAAACACATCCTTTCCTGTCATTGCTTTCCAAGCAACACCACCTAGATATGCAGTTTTTTGGTGGTGTTGTTTGCGCTCCCCAGTTATCTGAACCATGATATCTTTAACTGGAGTAGATAATTCTATGAATTATATAAAAATAATAAAATATAAATAACGGAGCTTTTTAGGAATTATTTGCCTCCGATATGAAGAAACGATTAAAGCCATTATAATCTGCAGACCGACTTTATATAATCGTACATCAAAACATTGGGAATACAAATTGTAAAATTATAATATAATGTTAACGAAAACGTGAGAGAAAGCAAAAAAAAAAAATAATATTGGTATTTTAAATAGGAAAGCATAATTAAAATTCAATTAATTATTTTTCATATCATTCATTCAATTTTTTTATGGCACGTAGTTGGTGTGAAACTATATAATTCATTAATTTCAACAAACGCAAAACGCAAAAACTACACGCTTTTTCAAAAAAATTGTACATAACGGTTTTTTGAGAACTAATTTTGTACAACAGACTTTGTGTGAAGCAAAAATCTCTATCTTCAATTTTCTTTTCGAAAAAAAAGAGCAATACTCGAAAATGAGACTAGCACCAAATTTCTTACCGTTCCTTATTACATATGGAGAGAAAATGAAAGGAAAAAAAATCGCGCGCTCAAATTCCGGCAGGTGATGCAATATTCGTTATAATAATAACAACGGCGTGTGAAATCATTCAAAACAATTACATTTGAGTAGTTTTTGAAAAACAAAAAAAAAACCTCAAAATGTACCTTACCTCATATTAATGGGTGGAATTAGCACGATCCGCTCAAAACTTTTGAAAAAATATTGGAGACATTTTTGAGAAAAAGGCGTTTGAGCGTTTCTGAAAACGCGGAATTTTGAACTTGTTTTCACAAAAAACGATTGAGTCTTCGAGAAACTTTAAATGAAATTTAAATTTTTAATTAAGCACATGCACTCATAAATATAATAAAGTGAACAAATTGCCGCTAGTGTAAATATTACTGAAGTGAGAAACACGTCATAAAAATTACATTTTAGTAACTTTTGAAAAAAAGGATAGAGCAAATTGTTGTTTATGTCATCTCATTGAGTACATTTCGCACTATCTCTACCTAAAGTTTGAAGAAAAGTTTTGGAGCCGTTTTTGAGAAAATCTTGTTTTTGTAATTTTTTTAAATTGCAAATATTGCAGGCAGTATTGCGCGAAACTACTTAAGTTTTCAAAAAATCTACGTGTCATTAATAAAAGAAAAAAATATGGATACAAGTTTTTAGTTGAAGAAGAAATGTCTATTTTTAATTTTGTTGTTGTAGGGAGAAAACAAAAAATTCCTTTGAACTTTTCGAAAATTCAGAGTTCACTGTGAAAATAGGATCTATTCCAATTTTATAAGTGTACTTTACTCTATTCTTACAAGAAATGTAAAGATAAAATTTGAAGTCATTTTTGAGAAAATTTTGAACGTGTCCGGGGGTTTCATGATTAGTACCTCATGAAACAATTTCTAAAACAGTTTACAGCATCGGCGACACCACATTGTACTAGTAAGTAAAATACGGGAAAGTATAAAGGGATGCAATAGAGAAAGATAAGACTTTTTGTTTCTACGAACTCAATTGTTTGGAGAATGCGCTACTTCCTTTTCGTATATACCAGGTCTGTAATGATTCTGTGCTAAAGCTCAGCTTTAATAATTAATATTATTATACAATTCTCCGAATGACGTAATTTATCTATGTACTGGACATTCCTTTGCAACACAAAAATTAGAAAAAACAAAATTAAGAGAAATCAGTATAATTACATTTTTTAAACAGGGTTTCATCAATATATAGTAGGAAAAAGATCCCCAAAAGTAATCAACTCCCATATATGTAGTTCGACGCACTATTAATAAAAAGATTCCATATAATTCAACACACCATTGAAATACGCAATTTTATGCAATGTGCGCATAATATGCAAAATTATGCTAAATAAAACTTGGAAATAAGCGTCTTGCCATCCAATTCGAATTCAAAACAAAACATCGGACTCCTTCAATGAAGTAAAAGAAATGTAGTACATTTGCATAAACATACGAATCTTATTCATAAATAGCACGTGCATTTCCATTTCAAAGTCCTAATTTAGAGAATGTGGGGTAAAAGCCCAAATTGTATGTTCGTCTGTTGAGAATAAAAGAACTCATTTCAACTGTTTTGCGCCTTAGATTGTTACAGTTTCGACGACGACCAGAAGTGCCGAGAACAGAACGCAGACGTTGCTCAGACATTTTGGAATCGCACGTGCCTGGCCGTCAAGGACGTGTGCGAGAGCAAGGGCTTCTCCTACGTTTCTGGTTTCGATTGCATCCACACCGTCAACGGAACGAGCATCGCTCTACGAGAAGTCCTCTCCGAACGGGTGATGGCATCTGAAGAGTTTTACGTGTAAGTGGAACATTATTCATATGAAATATTTGTAGTTTACACACCTCTAAATTACTCTAGGACAGTCACGCCAAACTGCGGCCGCACGAACCACTTGCCCACCTAGGAAGCCCGGCGCTTCTGCGAGCAGGGGCAACTTCCCCTAACTCCGCTCTCACTTCCCCTCCAAAATTAGAAAAGAGTGTAGGGGCGCAAGCTGAAGCGGCAGGAGGGGGTAGGCTTTGTAAGAAAATATGTTTCCAAGATGTGTTCTTACAAATAATAGAAATTTGAATCATGTTTTTTTGTACTACGTATTACTATTTCATGTTTATTTTTTAAATTCTGCCTTTTGTAAACATTTTCGACAGGAGTGAGTTTCGATGTCGAATTATATCCATACGTTGTGGTTTTGTATTACTTTTTATTATATCATTCATTTATTTGTTGTACTGAGAAATTATGGAAAATAAATTAACAAATATCTATAAATTAACAATTTTTGCTTATAGACGGGGAGTTATTGTAAAAAAATATTTTTTGTTATACCTTCTAACCTGACCATAAGAATTAAGAAATCATTGCTCATTCATATAAACACGATTACAAAATCAAAATACTTTCAATTCAAATTGTTTAATTTTATTCCTGATTGGCAAATTGAAATCTGAGTGATCTGTTATTACGGTTGCATAGTTTCCTGTGATGTCCGCTACTCCGAAGCAATTTGTCCTCCCCCTACAATTAAATCTCGCGCCCCTTCCTCTGGACGCATTGCAAGGAACTCTAGCCCGCGACGAACTGCCTGAAATATCTTTTAAAAAATTCATTTCATTCATTATAACAATATAAGGAAAATGAAAGAAAAACATTTCTTCTCAGATTTTGAAATGCACATGCTGATATCTTTTAAGATGTTATGGAAAACAACGTGAAGTTCTAATTGCACTACTCCATCATATTGAGGTGAAAATTAGCATTATCGTCAAATTCGTACAGCGTATCTGCATGAGCACGCTAGGTAGATAAGGAACATAATGAATAGTGAAGCTGAACTGTGTATAACATTCAGTCAGTGAGATCTAGCCACTTAGACGTAAAGAAACCATGGAACGTACGTTTTCTTAATTTACAGTCCTACAGGTAAACCGTTTAAATGTGAACAATTTTTATCTGTGAATGAAATGGTTACCATATGTATTCCTGTATATAAATGCTTTTAAAATATATTTTGTAGCCCTAATAAAGTTCGAATAAATGGCTGAAACGCCGGCACTGTAAAGTGTATGTTCTCTTTCATTGTCCTAAACTCAAGAACTACTCGACATATGTCTTATGTTACGATTCCTCTTGTGTTACGTTACGCGTATAAGTAAGCCTCTTCATACTGTTCATGTTATCCACTTTTAATTTGAACACAAATAGTTCCACTTGAGATATAAAAAGCGTGAGCGTGACAGACAATAGTGTGACGGGCAAAACAGAGGAGGTTTTGACATTGGAAGGTCGTTAGAAAGATCAAATGCAGTACCAAAACTCACAGATTGATAGCGATATCATGATATCGTTAGTGGATGTTATCACTACTCGGAACCTCTTTGTCGACTTTCGTTAATACAATCCTCCCCAATCCTGCACCAGTAATTGTATTGATGTCTGTTCGGCGACGTTGAGTTGGCGCGCATACGGCCGAGCAGCGCGCCAACTTCAAGTGTGAGGTTCTGGGCGTAAGCAGCCACCAAACCAGGAGGCGTCGCGGCTCGTACTTAAGAAGACCGCAAGCCCCAGGGAGGGCAGTCGAGGCAGCAGTCGCGCTGAGTCTCGAGAGAAGGCCAGAGAGGAGAGCCTACATTTACGATCTAGGACTTCAATATAATTGTGGCATTTTATAATTTAAATCCTTCTGATTTTCTTTCATATTTATATTATTTATCTTACATTACACGTTCCACTTTGTTTTCAGCGTACATCATCTCAGCAGTGTTCTGAGTCAAAAATGCAAATATTGTGCCTTTGCATAATCTTTCCCTTCAATGAATCTTTGACTAGTACTTGAGTCTCTTCCACGTGAAAAAACATATTCAACGGGACCGCCATATTCTTTCTGCTCTCCTTTTTACTCCCATTGCTACTAGCATGTGCTTCTCAGACACCACTTCTTTGTCCCCTGCGTGTAGCCAGCCAGCTCGCCAAATCCCTTCCCACAGCCCCTGCCCGCGGCGGCCTCGGCCGCAGGTGACCGCGCGCTGCCTCAAAGGGCCCTGCAATCGCGCGCGCTGTTTTCAAGGGCGCCCTGCCGCGCCGCGCCGCCACCGCCTATTTATTCTAATTCGCGAGTTAATTTGCCGCTGCGCTCGGTCGGCCGTTCTGCCTACCGGCTCGCTCGCTCGCTCGTTTATATGGCTTGGGACCGCGCGAGCGGGCGAAGTTGCCGCGACAAGTGCGCGATAATTAGAAGCGCGACGCCAGGGGCGGGCGCCGCTCGCACCGACCACTCCCCCGCTCGCCCTGTCGACTCGCCACGCCCCGCTCATCCGGCCTCCCGACCTCCCTCTCCCTTCCCTCCCGCCTCTGCCCCATTCCTACTGCCTCCCGGCCGCCCAGTTTTCCTTCCCGTTTCGCCTCCTCTCCTGTCCTCCCTCCTTCGTCTTCCGTTTCCCCTTCCGACCGCCCGCTCTCCCCCGATCACTCCTCCAGTGCCCACCGTTCACCGTCCTTCCCCTTTCCTGCCATCTGCCCACCCATCTGTCCTTCATGTCTCCCTTCCTTCCGCATTCCCGCCTCTCCTTCCATCGGCCCTGCCATCCGCCCGCCTCGCTGTTTCTTTGTTTAGCACGTTTGTCTCTCGCCTAGGCAACCGATTACGCGTGCGTCGGATCGAAGTCAATGGAACACATGTACTGGAAACTTACCAGCAGCCTGCGTTCAGAACCTTAGAGAGACTCGAATTCCATCCTTTACACTTACCTGCCGGAAATTGATTTCCCGATTATTGTGGAGTGCCGGGTTTGTGTCTTGAATGACAATTTTTCTTTTGTGTATGTTTTTATTAATGGAGGAAGTTAATGAAGTTAAATCATTAGGGTAGAAGTGACTTAACGCTCACGGACCACAAGACAGCCGGTTCGAATCCCGCCTCACCATCCGCCCACCACCACCACCGCCCTCACCATCATCATCTTATCGTCCATACCCCCAGGGCTAACAACCTTGGCTCATAAAAATCGGGATTCAACTAAAATACTGACCCTTCCCTTCACAAAGGTTCTTGCTTCTTCTCAAGCAGGATGAACGCATGATCCAAATTGGCTTATGCGCGTAATAAATGAAGACGAAAAAGTAGTTGATGAAAAAATGGAAATTCATTTTTGCGTAAGGTAAAGTGATGGCCTACAATTGTCATGATCCCATGCTTACGGATTGAAACTAGGGGTGCTACAACACAACATACTTTCTCGCATTATTGGAAATAGTTACGTAATATTGGAATATATACTAATTTTTTTAGTGTAGTAGAAATAGTGTTTTCTGCCATTCTACTTCTGAAAATGTCCAATTCAAACGAAGAGCCTGTAGTTCATATCTGCGTTTATTTCGATGGACAGGAACAGAAGTCATTTTTGACCTTTACCAATTAAACAAACATAAATTAATTTAAGTGTTACATTATTTGCAGCACATTATACAGAAGAGAAAGAATAGTGTTTCACTAAAGCTTTCCTTGATAACATCGAAGTGAGCTTCCAAATCTTGAATACCATGATCAGCGATCAAAACTTCATAAATCAAAGAAATGTGTTCGTTAGTTCTGCGTTAAATGCATGACATTACTGTTCTATTTTCTTTATTTTATTTCTTTATTATTTATTCTATTTTCTTTCATTAGAATTTTATTTATATTATGCGATCATCACAACCAGCGTCAATGAAAAGTATTCGAAACCGCTTTGTTGCCATTTTTCGAGTTGATAGCTCGTCAAACGAAGCGTGGGAAATTCGAAATTACCATTTCGATTTTTTTTCAATTTTTGAAAATAATGCTTCGAAAATGAGGCCATCACCACTTTCTTTATCGCTCTTTGCTACAAACGTGTAAAAAATAGAGCCGTTTCTCAGAAAACAATAGTTTACAATTTAAAAATTGTTTCTTTTTGACTGAAAATTGTTAACAAACTCACAATTTCGAACAATTGAATATGACCTTATTTAAAGATATTTTCGATTTACACATTTCATTTAGGAATATATCTGAAATCATAATTTTAGTTGTAGAAAGACGCCGAAGAAATGTAAACTTTTGCAATTTTCGAAAAATCAATGATTTTAACAAAATTGAGTCCTTCACTATTCTCTGAAGTGTTCTTTACTGTATCCGAGGTCAATCTAGGTTATTATTATTACATCTTTTAATAAATAAAAACTCCAAATTACGAATTAATTGTGGAATTTTGTTATAAAAAATTCTTATTAGACTTTCTCTTTCATATACCTGACCTATTTGGTGTAATGTCTCTATTTTTCTATGTATCTATTCTCAATCTAAACAAATTTCTAATAATTCAAACTAAATTCTTTGGCAAAATGTTACATTCTCCATGTTACATTTTCCCGAACATAAAATTAGTTCTTTCAAATCGTTTACACTGAACTTCACAATAAAAATTTATAATAACCAACTTCACCTACTTTTCAAAACTTTGCTAATAAACTTTACAGTCAAAACCATTTTTCTCACCTTGTAATCGATCATGTTTTCGAAAAGATATTTTTAATCCTCCGAAAATTAAAATTTGTGTAAATTTATTGTCCCTGAAAAAATTGTAATACATTTAAACAGGTAGCAAATAAATATTTTTTTAAAATATCCCTTCTTGCAATTCTACCATCAAATTTTTATAAATAATCTCTATAAATAAGCTCTTCAGTTCTAAAAAAAATCACGCACACTTGTCTCTCTTTTCCTCCGTTTCTGAAAAAGTATGAAAGTGACAGAGGCAGCTGTAAGAGATGTCTCATTCTAA